GAGAGAGAGAGAGAGAGAGAGAGAGAGAGAGAGAGAGAGAGAGCGTGTGTTTCGTGTGAGAGCGCCCTCTGCTGGTCTTCTTTATAAAAGTGCTGCGACGCCTCGATGCGCGTGCAGTCAGTGAGAGAGGAGCGTACTCTTCCTCCAGAGGAGCGCAGCGCTGAAAAACCAGTGGCCCCAGGGGGCAGGAAAAAAAAAAAAAAAAAAGAAAGAAAGAAAGAAAACAACAATAGAAAAGAGAAAAAGAAAAAAACAGTCAGCGGCTTGTAGCACTTTGAAACGAGTTCTTTCACCTCTTTAAACATGTTGGCATAAATCAGTCCAGGAAGTGTTCATGGGGCAGGAGAAGAAATGCGGACACATCAAGTCTCAGTAGTTTGTTGGTCTGAACGCAGCGCAGACGGACCCTGACAAACTGCTTTCATGGATTGACTGACTGAGCTCATTTGCTTTTTTTAAACCCCCCTTCCCCCATCAAACAGTGGATTTTTAAAATTTATTTTCATTTTTAGTGCAGCAATCCGAAAAGGAGTGAGTGTGGATTTTATTTTTTATTTTATTTTTTAATTTTTTCTTAAACAACGTCGAGGATTATTTCCAGTTTTTTTCTTTTCTGTGGAGGAATGCGTGCTGATTTTTTTTTTCTTTTTTCCCTGTGGCTTAAATGAGGATATTGATTTGGTCCAGTTAAGACTTGTTCAAGAATCAGGAGTAAAGAAGGGGAATTAGCCCCCCTTTAAAAAAAAAAGAGGTGGATAATTTTAGTGTAATAACTGGACCCCCGACTCATCTGTGTTCCGCTGAGTCCAATATGAAGTCTGACACTGTGTGGATGTGCGTTTTTCTTCTGCTCCTAGGTAAGAAATGACAAGAAGATGTGCACAAAATGTGCCTTTATTTTCAAGGGAATAAATCACATCAGAAGTTGTTGGAAGAAAATCCTGTCTGGCACGTGCTCACTTTGAGAAACTGTGAATGTTTTTATTCTGAACAATATTAATCATTTAATTGTAATTTATTAAAGAAAGAAAATGACTTATGTCAAACTAAACTTATAAACGAGTTTATTGATTCATTGCTTTTGAATGATCTTGAAAAAAATGTTTTCAGCCTTTTTTTTTATTTCAAACATGCTTTTAGGTTGAATATGACAAAGCCCAGCAGGTTTATAATGAACGTGATAGCTCCTGACAGCATCAGTGATTAAGTTACAGCAATCTGACAAAGTCATTTTTTCCCCTTAACTTTGTGTGGCAGAGCTTTTCTTTTTTTTGCAATGTTCCAGTCAACACTCTGTCCTTTTCAGTTCTCTAAGACATCACCAGGGGTCTCTCTTGTCATTTCACCCAAACTCCCTGTACTTACCTGAATAGGTGGGTTTGTTACTATTCTTGAAAGGCAAAACATGAGCCTCTCTGCTCTGTGGACCTCTGTGAACTCATTTTCTGCCAATCCAGATAGAAAATGAGTTTAATAATGTAGCTGATTAGATGCTGTAAACTTTGAGAGCACTTTTCTTTGATTTAGGTGTTTTAAAGCTGTTTAGCTTATTGTGTGTGTGTGTGTGTGTGTGTGTGTGTGTGTGTGTGTGTGTGTGTGTGTGNGTTCTTTACTGTACCGTTTTGCTTCTCAACAAATACGCTGTTTTGGTTTCTTAACCAAATAATTAGTACATGTTTCATTCCTGCTAAGCTTTGAGTTCATCAGTTTTTGCCTCAGCAAAGCTGTGTTTGAGTTGTATAAATCAAAGTACTTCAGTTCTCATTCCAAATATTTTTTTATTAAATTGGAATAAAAGCATTTTCTGAAAAAAAATGCAGTGAGAAAAGTTCAGAAAATTGAAAACACTGAAAATAAGTTTTTTAAATGAAAACTATCAGAATAAAACTAAACTTAGCAAAACAAAAGCCAGAACTAGCAAAATGGTAACAAAAGGCTAAAACTGTCAGAACAATAGCTAACAATTATCAACAGTTTCATCTTCAGTTCAAAAAAGCCAAAATATACAAAAAAGCTAAAAACTAAAATTAGCAAAATAGTAGCTAAAATCCAAAACCAACAAATCAACAGACACAAACCAAAACCAGCAAAAATCAAAGCAACAAGTGAAAAAGTCTACACTGTAGCTAAAACCTAAAAAAAACCCTAAAAACCAGTCAAAATAGCTAAAAAATGAAATCTTTAAAAAGTAAGTAAAGTATGAATTTAGTAAAACAGTAGCAAAAAACTAAAATTATCAGAACAGAAGCTAACAACTGCAGCTAAAATCTTGAGTTTGGAAAATAAAAGTTAAAAGCTGAAGTTAGCAAAGTACTTGAAAAAGAACAAACAAAGGTTTTGAGGAGATTTTAAAAAATTGCTACTGGGAAAAACGTAATTACTGTAAAGTAAATAATAAAAAAGGTATAAGTCCCTGCCCTAATGCCCTGAATAAACTGATTATTTTGACACATGGATGTCTGAAATAGCTGACAGTGTGCTGAAGTAGCTAAAAAAATATTCAGAAGAAAATGTTACTAAAAGAACCATAGCTTGAAATAACACCTGCTTCTGTTGATTGAAACAATTGTAAAACAAAACAAAGACATAAATACAACACAAAGGATGTGCTAAAACCAACAAATGTTGAAAATATTATAGTCATATGAATAAATAGTTTGTCACACTTTAAAGTGGCAGTTCCAGACTGACTAAGCTTATATTTACCCTACATGAATAAGCTGGTGCTGGC